ATGTTGCAGCATGCAGTAATCAATGTTCATAAACAAAGTGTCAAACGCTAACTAAAAATGTCAGCCACAAACATTAGGTTTTTTGGAGAGAGGGGGTTAGGCAGCTATCATGTTAGGGAAACATTACAGAAAAAGGGTCAAGAAACATCAAGAAGGCGATAAAAAGACAAAGAGGTCCAGGTTATGCAAACAAACCTCCCAATTCTGAGATATCAGTTGAGCCCTTAAGTTTCCTCTCCTCAGAGGGTTACACAACACACTGGAAAAAAATCCAATGTAGAAAATGCCCCTACATGGAGGAAGACTGCTGCACTGTATAAACAGCTTTGGCACTTCTACTTCACAATATGTGCTGGCAAAAATTGCAGGAAACAATTATATAAAATCAGAAGGTTGAATGGTTAGTTCAGAAATTTTTGGGGAATTTCTCAGTCTTGAATGTAAATGCAAAAAGCATACTTGTCCCAAGGTATGCTGTGATGTTAAAAAAATTTATCCTTTAACGGCTATTAAACTCTAAATGTACATGTAAACCACTATGAACACTAAACACACCTAATTCATATTATATGTATGGAAAAGGTATTTTGAGCTGCATGTGATCAGAGGCAACACCACCGGGAATTTGAAAATCCTACCTGTGACCTAATATAAGAAGTTAGAGTTGGTACATACAGTTTATAGTTATTGTGGTAAAACTACTGTAGGTATACACTAGAGTGAGTAATATAGCTTGTTGTAGCATTTAATGTTACAATACTGCAAGTGCCATAGGGATACCCTACAAACTTGTCATTTATAAGGGGTTCCAAGTGTAGTATTAGAAAGAGTCAGACCCTCTAAGTTTTCTCCTGACATCCATTAGACATGTCAAGTGCGATCTCATGCGTCTAGACATTCATGTGTTATCACTTTTTTTCTTTTGCTTAAAGCCAGATAACACAAAATCTTTTGGCCTTGTTTTATTAGACTGAAAATGATTAGTTTTTTTGACAGGTTCCCATTCTGTCTCCCCAGTAGACATGAGAGAAAACATAACCAATGTGGACACAGGCAGCAATAAAAAAAAACCTTAAATAGGTTATCTTTGGGCCGGATCACTGCAGGACCACAATGTTAGACCGCTTCGTTGCATTTCTGAACCACTGCTTTTTTTACTATACAAGAGGGGGAAAAAAACCAAAAAATTGGAAAAAATAAAGTCTCCCTTATTTTCTGCTATAGAAGATAGCAAATAAAAGAACCCCTTTTCGGGAAATTGGACACCCCAAGGTGATCTTATTTTTTCTAACGCAATTTTGTTTTGGTGCACTAGATACAATGAACGTACAGGTCATACCCGGAAGAGGGAAATGGTAAAGGGCTTAATGCACATGTTACATACAGTGGTAGGATGGCAATGAGGGGTTAATGTACAGATGTGCAGGATAAGGGAGGTGAATGAGTTAACATACAAGTCAGAACAGAGATAGAATGGAGCTGAAATACAGAAAGGGGGAGGTGAAAGGGTTACAAATTACAACCATTATTCTTTGATGCTGCAGTTTGTTTCCATCAGGAACTAATGAATGATTAGTTCCAATATTCTCCTCTACCTCTGTTGTAAGAGGAAGAGGAGGGCTTTGCCATGTAAACATTCGCATGTGACTGCTGTAAAAAAACAAATCACAGGGATTTCATGGCACAGATCCGGTCAGATCAGCTCTGTATCTATAGCCGATGAGCACTATTGACAACTTGTGCATGTGCACAAAGGTAAACAGGGGAGGACATACAGGTACATCCTCCTGGCTGTTTATATATAGGGGCCACTAGCTAAATGGTTAAAGCAGAACTGCAGGCATACAGCTAAATACAACCATGTGAATTGTTTTAACAGTCAAAATTTTATTCTGTTCAGCCAGTGCATTACACACCCTGCCACACTGCTTGCCAATACTGATGAGCCTGGGCTTGGTCCGAATGCAGTTCCACCAAGCCCACTCAAAACTGTGCCAATCAGCTTCAATCTTTTATTTTCAAAGCTTAACTGATCAAACAGACTAGACACTGATTGGCTGCCAACTGCTCCAGTTCTGATGTTTACCCCCCAATATTTTGACGTACCAAAGTCCAATTTGTCTGGACTGTGCAACAGGCAGGATAAGTGTAAAAAACATCAGATGTGTTTTCCTGTTTGTATATGTATGCTAAGCAATGTAAGTGTAATAGCGACAGGTATTTATCCCTTCTCACATAGACCACAGTACTCCTGACAAACTCGGTTTCCTTTTCTCCTAGGAGACCAGCACCACCCATGGTTAGTATTAGGGATGCACCGATACTAGTATTGGTATCGGTGCCGATACTCGTACTCGCCCAAATGCTCTGATGCCTAGCCCGATACTTCCTGTATCAGGAAGTCAGGTAGCACGCCATTACACGCTGCCCGGCTTCCTGATTGGCCGGGAAGCCGGCTCCATGCTCCCTCGTCACTTGTGACGAGGGAGCATGGAGCCGACTGCCCGGCCAATCAGGAAGCCAGGCACTCGTCACTTGTGACGAGGGAGCATGGAGCCGACTTCCCGGCCAATCAGGAAGCCGGGCAGCGTGTAATGGCGCGCTTCCCGGCTTCCTGATTGGTCGGGAAGCTAGCCAATCAGGAAGCCGTGTGAGGTGTAATGACGCAGCGCCCGGCTCCCTTGTCATCTCCCGGGCCAATCAGGAAGCAGGGCGCCGAGTCATTGCACGGCTTCCACGATTGGCCAGCAAGCCGGCTCCATGCTCTCTCGTCACAGAGACGAGAAGCATGGGACGGTTTCCTTGTTAAATCGGGAAGCCAGGTGGTGAGTCATTACACGCCGCCTGGCTTCCTGAATGGGACTTCCGGTGCTCGGTATTTGGTATCGGCAAGTACCGAAAAAAATATCAGTACTCGTACTCAGTACCAAAATACCGGTATCGGTGCATCCCTAGTTAGTATCTATTCCCAAAGACGACACAGCCATGTACTGTTGTGTGAAAAAAAGAAAGTACACCCTCTTGGAATTCTACGTTTTTTCCGTATCAAGGCATAATAAAAAAAAAATCATCTGGTCCTTACAGGTCTTAGAATAAAGGTTTTTGTACAGACATCTCACCCTCGTTCAACTAGCCCATCATGCAAAGACCAATGTAGTTTGCAATTAACACTCTTCAGCACCACTAACTGGCTGATTTTCAATCCAAAAGAACAGTTTTTCATTTGAGCATGTGCAGTTTTCATCTTGAGATTTTTGTTGTACAACGCCACTAACCCATCGATTTTAGTCCAACTAGACAAACATTTTCTAACCTGCTTGAAAGACAAAAATCTGCCAGTTGTACAGTAATTGAGGTTGTGCCCTTCCCATCAACTGCCAGATTTTCGGACGAAAATGCAATCACAAACAAAAATCTCCATATAATTATAACTTTAGGTAAATACAACCACAGATGACATGACTTATTACACTGGGACATTTCATTTTATAAATTTAAAACCAAAATAAAGAATGGGGAAGTTATGTGTGAAAAAACTAAGTACACATTATTCAATAGCTTGAAGAACCACTTTTAGCAGCAATAACTTAAAAGTAATCATTTTCTGTGGGACATTATCAATCTCTCACATCATTGTGGAGGAATTGGGCCCACTCTTCTCTACGATGTTACTTCAGTTCACTGAGGTTTGCAGGTATTTGTTTGTGCATAGCTCTCTTAAAGTCCCACCACAGCAGTTCAGTGCGGATGAGGTCTGGACTTGACTGGGTCACCAAGACCTTAATTCTCTTCTTTTTCAGCCATTCTATTGTAGATTTGATGGTGTGCTTGGGATCCTAGTTCAATGCATTACCAAATTTCGACCAAGCTTTAGCTGTCAGATGGCCTCACATTTGACTCTAGAATACTTTGGTATACAGAGCAGCTCATGATCGACTGAATGACTGCAAGGTGCCCAGGTCTTGTGGCTGCAAAAACAAGCCCAAATAATCACCATCATGTAGAGTACGAGACATAAAGCTTGGGTTTTTTGCAATTTCTCCGAGCATTGCATGGTCTGACTTTGGGATGAATTTGCTGGGACGTCCTCTCCTGGGAAGACTGGCAACGGTCTTGAATGTTTTCTACTTATGAATAATTTTCCTCACTGTAGAATGAAGGACCTTAAATTGTTTGGAAATGGCCTTATAACCCTGCCAAGATTGAAGGGCAGCAACAATTGCTTCTCTAAAGTTATTGCTGAGGTCTTGCCTCCTTGGCATTGTGTTCACACACCTGAATGCGCCAGACCAGCAAACTGCTAAAACTTCAGCTTTTATAACTGGTCACACTTGCTGATGAACAATAAAGGGCATTTGATTATCAGCATCTGACTGCTACTTATCCTCTTAATTCTTATGGAAACAGTAAAGGTGTACTCACGGTCCTGGCCAAAAGTTTTGAGAATGACACAAATATTAATTTCCACACAGTCTAATGCTTCAGTTTGTATGATGGCAATTTGCATATGCCCCAGAATGTTATGAAGAGTGATCAGATCAATTGCAAATAATTGCAAAGTCCCTCTTTGCCATGAAAATGAACATCCCCAAAAAAAACATTTCCACTGCATTTCAGCCCTGCCACAAAAGGACCAGCTGACATCATGTCAGCTGACAGGTGTCAGTGTTGACAAGGACAAGGCTGGAGACCACTCCGTCATGCTGATTGAGTTAGAATAACGGACTGGAAGCTTTAAAAGAAGGGTGGTGCTTGAAATCATTGCTCTTCCTCTGTTAACCATGGTTACCTGCATGGAAACACGTGGAGTTATCACTGATTTGCACTGGCAATGGTATTGCTGCTACTAAGATTGCACCTAAATCAACCATTTATCGGATCATCAAGAACTTTAAGGAGAGAGGTTCCATTGTTGTGAAGACGACTTCAGGGCGCCCTAGAAAGTCCAGCAAGCCCCAGGACCATCTCCTAAAGTTGATACAGCTGCAGAATCAGGGCACCACCAGTGCAGCGCTTGCTCAGGAATGGCAGCAGGCAGATGTGAGTTCATCTGCACGCACAGTGAGGCAAAGACTTTTGGAGTATGGCCTGGTGTCAAGAAGGGCAGCAAAGAAGCCACTTGTCTCCAGGAAAAACATCAGGGACAGACTGATATTCTGCAAAAGGTACAGGGATTGGACTGCTGAGGACTGGGGTAAAGTCATTTTCTCTGATGAATTCCCTTTCCGATTGTTTTGGGAAAATACCTGGTCTGTAGAAGAAAAGGCAAGCGCTACTATTAGTCCTGTGTCATGCCAACAGTAAAGCATCCTGAGATCATTCATGTGTCGGGTTGCTTCTCAGCCAAGGGAGTGGGCTCACTCACAATTTTGCCATGAAGAATGGTACAAAAACACCCTCCAAGAGCAACTTCTCTCAACCATTCAAGAACAGTTTGGTGATGAACAATGCCTTTTCCAGCATGATGGAGCACCTTGCCATAAGGCAAAAGTGATAAGTGGCTTGGGGAACAAAACCTCAACATTTTCGGTCCAGGAAACTCCCCAGACCATAATCCCATTGAGAACTTGTGGTCCATCCTCAAGAGGCGGGTGAACAAAAAAACCCTCCACAAATTGCAGATGTCTTGAATAATAAGGGTCAACACTTCAATAAAAGCCTTTGACGCTTATGAAATGCTTGTAATTATACTTCAGTATATCAAAGTAACATCTGACAAGAATATCTTAAAACACTGAAGCAGCAGACTTTGTGAAAATTATTATTTGTGTCATTCTCAAAACCTTTGGCAAGGACTGTAGTTTTTCCACACATCACCTTCTGGTAAAATTATTTGACACGGTGTAATATGTCATGTGTTATTGTTCATCCGAGGACGTATTTACCTAATTTTAAGATCTGCTAAGGACCAGATGATTTTTATTATGTCCTGATACTTAAAACCATAGAATTCAAAGAGGGTGTACTTTTTTCACCTGAGTGTATATCCTGCTGCCAGCACAATCATTTTGTAATGTTTGTAACACGGTAATAATGTTGTGTGTGTTCAACCAAAAAAAAAGCTGCTGCCCCCTTCACTTGTCAGTTGCCAGACAGAACATATCCAGTGATACATATCCAGTGAGAAATGACAAACAGCTTAAATAAATAATAATAAATGCTTCCCACAGTCTGCAACCTGCATATGTATCCATGCAGATTGTTAGAGTTACCGAAAGATCGACTTTAAGGTACATTCCAAATCAAAATGTGGCTGATCAAGTCAAGGAGAGAACAAAATGGCTGTTACTTTTAGATCTTGTGCAGCTGGCCGCTTTGCCAGTAACCATTCACCAGTGACAGCACCTCAACTGTTGGCAATCTGGCTCTGGGGAAAAGTCCTCACATTGTGCTAAATTAAAATTGACACTAAACTTGGGAGTTAAATCTCAAAAATGCATTCAAGCACCCTATTAACAAAGCTTGCTCCCGTAATAGACTACAATCTCATGTTTGTTTGTGAAATATTTTTATTGAATTTTTAAAAGGTACAATTAAAGTATACTAGAGCTGCAACAGTTAATCGATTTAGTCGATTAAAATCGACGATTGAAAACGTTACCAACGTTTTCGATTGTCGATTCGTCAGCTATCGATTGATTTGCCTGTTCGGGGCTCCACACGCAGCCTGAAGCACACGTCACACGCTGTTCCCGTCCCGCTGCGCCCACAGGACGCATAAGCCACGCCCACCGCACGCTGCTCCCGCCGTGCCCACAGGACGCATAAGCCACGCCCACCGCACGCTGAAGCCGCGCACGCCGCTGCTCTCCTCCGTGAGCTCCCTCACTCGCTGCTGGCACGGCAGGCTCCCTCACTCGCCGCTGGTAAGTCAGGACTACAAATGTAGCTGCCTAATTACAGTGAAAGAATGTGCACAGAAGAGAAACTATGTTGATTGACTTTATAATTGCCAAAGAGATGGGAAAAGCCAGAAATTGTGTCCAGGCTGTTATACCACCAGAGTCTGTAAGGGATGCATAACTGCAATTTTAGAAATTCCACATTGAAGACTTTTACTAAAAAGTATTATTTTTTACCCTGATTGAATTTTAAATGGATAGACTGAGAGTAAAAGTATACTCATGTTAGAAGTAGAGCTGCAACAATTATTCGATTAAGTCGATTAAAATAGACGATGGAAAACGTTATCAACGTTTTCCATAGTCGATTCGTCGGCTAAAATTCAAATTTCCAGCTTGCCGCTCATGAGACGCCGCTTACGCCACGCCCACGCTGAGGACATGTGTCTGGCCCTCTCCTCCCAGTGAGCTTCCCGACTCGCCGCTGCCCGCCGACACCGTCATTCAAGGTAAGTCGAGATCGGCCGGGAGCTTTTTAATGTTTCCTGTGTGTTTTTTTTAAAAGCGGCACACTGCAGAACATTAGTAGCTATAGAGGAACAACAAATGCCAGCAATAATACATTAAACACCCTGTATACTGTATTATTGCTGGGATTTGTTTTTCCTCTATAGCTGCTGGTGTTCAGCAGTGTGCCGGTGTATTATACATTGGTATTAGATTAAATCGATTAAAATCGACTATGGTAAACGTTGTCAGCGTTTTCCATCGTCGATTCGTCGGCTAAAATTAAAATTTCCCACTCATACCCGCCTGTTCGCAGCTCCATACACGAGTTACGCTATGCACGCTGCGGACGCCATGCCCACCGCGCACACACGTCCGCAGAGCACGCCGCCGCAGCGACTTAGAAGGGTTCAGAAACAGGTAAGGGGGACCTGTTTTAATGTTTCCCGTTTAAAAAAAAAAAAAAGAAAAAGCGGCACACTGTAGAACACCAGCAGCTATAGAGGAACAACAAATCCCAGCAATAATATATTAAACACCCTGTATAATGTATTATTGCTGGGATTTGTTGTTCCTCTCTAACTGGTCAGTGGTAATCTGCATTGTGCAGTATAATCATCATACAGCGCAATGGAGAATACCATCAGCTACGGAGGACTAAAAATCCCTGCAATAGTACATTATAGTATAATGTTGTACTATTGCTGGCATTTGTTGCATTCCTATATAGCTGCTGGTATTCTGCATTTCGCCGTATAATCATTATACAGCGCACTGCAGAATGCCACCAGCTATAGAGGACTACAAATCCCAGCAATAATATATTATATACAGCGTAATGCAGAATAACTCCAGCTACAGTGGACTACAAATCCCAGCAATAGTACATTATAGTATAATGTACTATTGCTACATTCCTCTATAGCTGCTGGTATTCTGCACTGCTGTATAATGTACTATATTGCACACCACACTCTTTTTTTTACTTCCACCGCACCAAGCTTGCTCCCGTGAGGGACTACAATCTCAATAGAAACTAGTAGTCCATCACTGGAGCTTTTTTTTTAAATCCGATTAATCGAACGTAATAATCGGCTAACTAATCGATTATGAAAATAATCATTAGCTGCAGCCCTAAAGTATACAACAACACAAAACGAGTACAACAGCCTGGTATCAACCAGAAATAGGGGACTTACTCCACAGTTGGCTCATGTGAGAGAGACCAGACCCAAGATAATCACAGCAATATGTAGAAGGGTGGTCTGTGGGCAGGTTAGGAGCCCCCCTGCATCTATGAAGGATCAAACTGTAAGTCAGTCACAAAGGACCTAACAAAAGCAAATATTAAAAGGAGAACTATGAGGTGAGTGCTTTTCACTCACCTCATAGTTCTAGCCGACCTGTGACAATGAGACTGTCACAGGTCGGCTCAGTAGATCGGGAGGTGAGCGAACACATACCGGGTTCGCTCACCTCTCGATCCTGTCACGGCTCTCTGCCGTGACAGGGGGAGGGGCTGGATTCTCCGATCTGCCAGTGGTGACTGGCGGAACGGACGGGGGAGGGGGCGGGTACAGCTGGCTCTGCCTCTAGATAGGCAGAGCCAGCTGTCACTCACGCAGCTGGGCGGATCCCGTCGTCTAAGTCGGGATCCGCTCCGGCTGCGGCGTCTCAGTATACCGCGAGCTGTAGCTCGCGGTATACTGAGCCTAGGGTAACAGGAGGACGCTAGTTTGTGTCCTCCCGTTACCCTAAGGAGAACTATGGGGAAATACACTGACCCCATAGTTCTCTTTTAAAGGTCAGAGTCTACTGCAGAATTTGAGTGTTCCAGCCAAACATTCCACACCTTATTGCATTTAGCAGCACAACTTCTATGATGGTGAGTATCCTGATAGAGGCAAATTGTAATTCTCCAATTTCTTCCAAAACTGTATTGTGGCAGGAGTAGGTTTCTTCCAACACATCACTATTGCTTTACGGGCATAGAAAAGAAGTAGGCTAAGAAGAGTGCGCGCTGCATTGGTAGGGGCCAACTCCTCATAGTATGATTAAGCAAGTGTAAACAGAAAGGTCCATCCAGGTCCAGAATATCAACAGTCCATTTAGCTTGTAGTCTAGCAAGATTCGAGGTAGTTAATGTTTGTAGCGAGTGTGGAATGAGAACATAAGAGAGCCCAGGGTCCCCCAAGCAACAAACTCCGCAAAGCTTTTAAGGAATTTAGTATAACAGCCGCCAACATTACTGAAGAGTTATTAGTATCTGATGAAGACCACCAATGAGCTGTCACTAACTGGGGGCAAGAAAATATTTGTACAGATCTGGTAGTGCCAAACCACCTTGAAGAGTGGGACGAGTTAAACTAGATCATTTATATATTGGAGGCTGGGATCCCCACAGAGAGGAAATAAATTGCGTAAGCTGCTTTACAATCTTATGTTTAGTTTACTATATTTGCACTATGCTCTATGATGCGTTTCCTGGAAATGCATCAGCATAGAATCTTCTGATCTATTTATGCTCTGAAGTCCGAGAGTTCACAATGGTGCCGAATGATACTTTTCCGCATGTTCTAAACGCGATGGGTTTAGATGGATTTTTGTGAGTATTATTCTTTATACCTTTTGCACTGATTAATAAACAGTACTAAACGAAGAGAAATCGCTGTTCTTTTGTTTTCTCTTTGTCTTTTTCAGCATGTCTTCTGAGGTTTCCCATCCTGTGATTCAACAGCAGCCCCTTCTGTATAATCCAATTGAAGTCTGCTTTGGTTTTCCCCTGTGAGACTTCTACTTAGCACCGAACATTTGGAGAATACACCTTTTACTTTTACTAGTTTACTAATGTGTAGTCCTTCACGGAAGCGAGCTTGGAGTAGTGGCTACTTTATAACACACACAGGACCATGGAGAAAAAGTAGCCAATCTCCAGAAGGAAGAATAGTGTCAGCACGAGTTCAGAGAAGATTTGTGGCTCTACAGCCAAGTGACAAACGAATA